TGTCCTTCCACCTTGCCAGTTGCAAGACAGGTCAAACGGTTGATCATGCAACAGGCAGCCTGCCAGAGTTGGGGATGGGGAAGCAACAATTGCCTTTCCACTCCATCTTTAGGCATCTTTAGGCAACAGCCATTCGTTTTTAATCTAGATGGTAAATTGTGAATATTTTTGACAAACCAATTTTAAAAATATGATATATGGTGTTGACAGGACAAGTGCACTGAAATAGATGTATGGCAATGGAATCACCTCTCAAATATGTAAAAAAAATGCATTGCATACACAAAGGGAAGTCACAGAGGTGAAAGAGTATACTGAAGCAATTCATATTGGAAGAAACTGCATTAATATTTTGCTTCAAAATGGCAGTTTGAGAAATGATAGAAGCCACATGAGGAAGACGTAACAGTACAGTACCTTAATAGCATTACCATTGCAATTTGATGTTATTGTCAACTATTTTGCATGTTTCTGTACATATTTATTTCTAATATATAGCAAAACATACCAACTAATCACTCTTCTTCTGTGCCCTGCCTCAAACTGCTAGTGTAGCCACCCTCTTACTACAAAGAAAGTATGAAGAGGATTGCACCCGAAAGCTACAGTCCAGATACTTTTAAAGGAAATAAGTTCAGCCAAATTCAATGGTCAGAATTCTGTTGGGGAAAATATATGCATTTAAGACTGATAGTGCAGCCATTTGTCTCTTGTCTGTTGACCTCTGTTGTGCTACTGAGCATGCAACTACTGCCATGACCTGAGGAAGCTAAAATGTATTAAAGCCAAACAGCAGTGCCAGTTGGTTTGCTTGCATGATTGCCTAACTTAGGTTACAGTATGTGGGACCAACAAGATTCTATTTGCTTGCATGATTGCCTAACTTAGGTTATGTGAGACCAACAAGATTCTGGCCATCAAGACTTATTTAAGAGTAAATGGCCAAAAGATCCTGTTTCTTAGTGTAGTAAATTGCAATAGAGTAGGTCTGCTCAGTGGATATTTTGTGAGTCAACTCCTCTGTAAGTTCTGTTGATTCAATGGGCTTATCCTAGTGCAAAAGGATTTTGACCAGTATGTCCCATATTGCTTTAAATCCTGTTGCTCAGCACAGTAAATTGCCTGAAGTAAGCCCATTTAATAAGTGGGGATTTGGTGAGTCAACTCCTCCATAAATTCAGTTGATTCAAGTGAGCCTACTCTAGTTGCAATTTACTGTGTCAAAATAAAATTCAACTAGAGTAGGCCCATTGAATCAATGGAACTTATGGAGGAGTTGACTCACCAAATCCCCACAGATTCGGTGGGCCTATTTTAGTGTGATTTACTGCACTGAACAGGATTTCACAGTCATTGGCATCAACCTATATAAATGATACACATAGACAGAAAAAGAAACAAAGAAGAGGCTATGAATACCACTAGAGGGCCCAACAGATCTGTGGAAAACTAACTTATCTTTTCCTTCACTGGTATCTTATGTCAAATAGCATTAGAGACAGGGCTTGATATTACTGTCAACTATTTCAAATGTTCTGTGTGTATTTATCTTCCAAAAGATAAATACATACATAGCAAAAATTAATATATATATTAAAAATAATGGAACCTAGATTAAAAACCTCTATTGTTTATGTGAGAAGATGATACTGTACTACATGAGTGCAAGTGCAGCAAGACAACATAATGACTACAGTAATGTAGTAATTGTGACTATAGCAATAATATAATATAAATTGTAACCAAAAAATAAAAGAAATTGAAATTTATCATGACTGTATGATAAGAAATTACAACATGGTGAAAGATATATTATTCTGGAGATGAAATGGGAAGACCAGTTCCTTATTATAGCTAATGTATGATTTGATTTTTTTAAAAAAAGGTTTGCAGTGATGGAATAGAATAGAATCAGTTCCAAGGCTAAGCTGGTACTACTGTGTAATGGAAATACAGTATAGTAGACCTTTTGAAACTTTTGAGAGTCTTGTCAGAAACAGTCAAGCAAAAATGTATTAGGTGGAATGTAAATGAAGCAATAAAATACACAAAATATTTGTTTGTTTGCTACCTTTCTCCTAAAGGAGCCAAGGCAGCTTGTGGCCTTAAAAGACACAAAGTTGAAATGAAAAATATTTTGGGAAATGTGGCTCCCTATAGTAGAGTTGGTATACACTGCATTTATGTGACAATGGCTACTATTAATGCTATACATATATAGTATACAGTTTATCCTGTATTGTTAGCTTTGGGGCAAGGACCTGAAATTTTGTATCCTGTAAAGCCCTATAAACAATTTTTTAAAATAAAAATAATAAATAAAAAAATCAGCATACAATAAATGTCCACATCCTCAAGGCTGTTAGCTTGGGAACAACAGATTATTCTTAATTCCTATAACTGATACACTGCCATTCACTATAGTATACATTCATTTAGAAGTAAACCCTATTAATATCTATAGAATTAACTTCACAATAGGTGGGTTGAATATTGCAACCTTGCTGATATTACTTGAAATGATTTATAATTGAAACTAACTAAATAGTCAGTGGGGAATTTGGCTCAGCTGGAAATACTGATAGGGCATGAAATCCAGTTGTTAGTTCCAACTACAGTAGACTCATTGGCTCTAATCCTGTTGTGCAGCCAGAATGATATCACCAGACTCAGCTATGCTGCAATCATTTCAGGGGAATTAAAAGCTTCCTAGAGTCCCCACCCACCAAGTTTCAGGGATCCCTAAGGGGGCTCTAGAAACCTTTTCATTGCCCTGAAATGGCTGCAGCTGATGACATAATTTTTGTTGTGTCGCACAGCTCTGCCAACAGCTCTAGATCAGTAGGATGCCTGTAAGTGTGGTCTACTCTAGGTGCAAATTTCAGTTGGGTTTAGACCACAATAATGTATACTAATTGTCTCTATCCTTCCCCCCCCCCTTTTGTAAAGTTTTCCCACCAGAAACAGCTTGTGGGAATTTAAAGAATGATCCTGTCTTGGGTATATCCCTAGCTTATATATCCTGTTATGTTGCAGAATTTGGAAGCATTACTACTTTGAATTATAGTAACTGAAATCCCCAAATGACCTGGGAATTTCTAGAAACTGTACTTCAAAGAAAGGTAACTTTTCCAAGCTTTACAGTAGTTTCTAAAAGGATGTGATCTGGAAGATGAAAGAATGTAGGCCGGAATAGTTACACTCAATCTTCTGCTTCCCCCTTCCCTAGCTCTTGCTGCAGCAGAAAGAAACCAAGTACAGCAGGAAATTTATTTCCTCCTCTGATTTCACCCAATCAGGTCTCGGAAACTATAGACAGCCAAACAGTTCCCTGCTCTCTCCTGAGGTGATGGTTACCCTTAACAATTAATAATTATGTGCTGTTAAGTTGGTTGTAACTTATGGCAACCCTTCTCTAGGTTTTTTAGGTATGAAGTATTCACAAGGAGTGGAGAATCACAGCCTTGGGGGATCTTTCTAGATGCTCAGTTTATAATGCATGAAATACATTTAGTTGCATGGGGTCCAAACATTTATGATCAGCTTGGCAATTCCTCTGCATAATATTACCTCTTTTGACAACCCTAATTGCCTTTCTTTCTTGGTCGACTGCAAAGAAAAGCACTTGCTGTGGCAAGTGCCGTGTAAAATATGTCTGCAGGAGTGTCAGTGGCATCTGATAGATAATGTCTAGACTGTCACTTGTGAAATGCAACACAACCCTTTTGTGCCCATGATATTTTGTGGACTTTTTAAAAAGTGTTTATTTTTAGTGATTGCCCTGCCGTGCTGCACTGTCGCAGTTCCTGGGGAAAAAAAAGCAAGAACATTCCTTGAAAGTATAAATGTTGTTGCCTAAGCCTATGTGATTTCCACTGTTTTGCGTAACTTCATTTCCAATATTTTCTACATTCTTCTTCCCGCCTCTAGTGAGATTTTCACCTAGTGAGATTTTCACCTAGCCCCATTTATAGACAGACAAATGGAGGAGAGAGATTTGCAAACAACAGTATAGTTATTCTTGAGGCAAAACTAGCCAGAATCCTTCCATGGACATAACTGATCTGCTCTGATTTCAGGAAGCTAAGTAGGGTTGGATCTGGCTAATATTGGGATGGGAGACCAGAAGAATATCAGGGAAGAATTCTGTCTAGAACCTTGGAGACTCACAGCCAGTTAGAGTTGAGTATAACATTAAATTGGTTTTGTGCACAAGAGACAAAAGAATACCACAATGTGAAAAGCATCAGGTCCAGAGAATCCCTTAGATAGCTAAATTTAAGTGAATTTTCACAGATTTTTGAAGTCCTACACTGTTAAGTGTGAAGCAGTAGCAGGTGTTCGTCATTGTTCCAATATTGCTCAATTTTTGAGCATATTGTGGGGATAAAGTCTGTGATTTTTAAAAATCATCTGGAGAGATCCTAACAATCAAAATAGACATTCACATGTCCTGCTTGTAAAATGTTATGAAAGGAGGAAAAAACAGAGGAAGGAGTTGGAAGACATATATAGAAGCTGATGTAAGTTTGCTAAGGAATATTTATGTGCCTTGCAAAAGTATATTTTTGATAGCATCCTTGTTGCTTTCTCTCTCTCTCTCTCTTTATGAAGGGAGAACACATCGCAGACAGTCATGGACTCGAGGCTGTTGTGGGTTCATTGTTCAAATTAGACTCCCTGTTCTACACCTCTGAAAATAAAAGCACCTGTTTGCTCAGTTTTAGAGTGCAAAACCATAGGCCCAAACCTTTTGTTTAATTTTATGGCAGTGTCATCTCCCAGCTAATCTGGAAGATGTGTCTTACTTTAAACAGAAAAGGTTGCAACGTGGTGGTGAGCAAACCTTGTATAAAACTAATGATTACTAAACAAACATCAAGAAGAACAACCATGTCTGAATATTGTCCTTCCTTGTGCTTACATCAGAAAGGCATTGCAATAGGCAAATGACTCATCAGAGAAGTGAGAAATAGGTTGCTAGGCAACCCAGCAACCTGGATGGGAGGCCTGCTCCCATATCATGAGACTTGACATGCTTGATGGGTCTCTAGATTTTTAAAATACAATAATTTTATGAGGCAGCAGAGACTGGAAGGGTGAACATTCATCACACAGAAGAAAAATGTTTGTGGACAATGAGAGAAACCATGCAGGGGAGGATTTGTGTAGAAGAAATATACGTCAATTTCATGACTAGCTATCTGAAGACGGAATAAGATGGGCAGAAATGGGAGGCACCACGATTGAAATAAAAATATAAGTGAAATGAAAAGGACTATGAAAAACCACTGGATTAATCGGTGGAAAATAGCAATTACACTGTTTGCATTTGGCTACAGAATGATCAGGCATGAGTTCACTACAGCTTACTGGAAGAAGAGTATAAGGAGAAGGCAGCATTATCAAATATTATTGAAGTGATAAGAAAACATTCACATTTAATTTGTACGTATGTTATGTTCGTAAACAGGAACAGTTTCTGTGACCGCCACCATTTAGGATCACCATTTAGGATACAGCCTAATTCTACATTTTTTCAATACAATCAGAGTTATCCCAAGGAATGCTTCTAAAAGAGTTTTTGGCTGAGTTTACTGACATTATAGTGTGCACAAATACCTTTGCTTTAAGAGACAAATTAAGAGTGAAGAAATGCATAAAAGTGACTATTTTCATCAACTGTAGAACAATTAGTCATTTATCTTGAGCAAGCTGCATTTATCTTGAGCAAGCTGCTTCATACAAAAACCATGCCACTCAGGGGGAGAGTTCATCCTCTCCAATCTAATATATACTGTATAGTGCCAAACTTCTAGGCACACCTACTTGGGCATTTCTTTTAGGGAGTGATGCCGGTTTACACTTTGAATATAATTCAAGTAAATAAAAGGATATAAGGAAGATACAATTTAAATACTATTGGTGTACACTTCAAAAGCCTCTTTCCTAAACCCTTTCTTCTTTGGTGGGAAGTTTTAACAGGATGATGCCTCTCTCTTTTCCCATTTAGAATGAAGAATACCCTCCAGCAAGACACAGCTTTTGCCAAAGCATCTCAGAAGACTTCCCCTTTTGCTGAATCAAATGCTACCTGAAAGTAAGTTCATAGTCTCATTATACATCAGAGTGACAAACACATATTCTGTATATTTCCACACAGAGAGATCTTTATAACGTTTCCAAAGACTTGCGTTTTTTCCAGTTCTTCCTTACCAGAATGTGGAATGTTCTATTATAAACAATAGAACAGTGGTGTTTGTTTCTTAAAACCAACTAATTTTCCTCTTTTGGCAGTGAAAAATGGGAAGCTGAGAGATGACCATTTTAAAGTGCTGGAGGAAAACCAGAACATGAGCATTCTTAGCAATCCCTTGAAGCAGTTCCTCAAAGTATTCTTAAAATATCTTATAGCCCAGTCCATCTTACAAGCTACTTTGAAACATTTTTTAAAAAAGCATTCCCCTTCATCAATTTTTAGGGTACAATCAGACAGTGGGAACATCTCATGTCCAGTCATACCAGAAAGGGTCTTTTTACAAGGACCAATCTCCTTTAAAGCAACCAACCTTTTTATCTATTGTGTAATCAGCTGGAAGTTACTCACACCACACTATGCTAAAAGCTGTCCAAAATGCAATCTGTTTCCCATTTTATTATACCCTAAGTCTTCTTCCTCAACAAACCCTTTTTAAAGTTGCTGCAACCAATACAGATACCTTTTCTAGATGCTACCCATACACTTTAGGATCTTTGGGAAGGTAAGGTTCTTAGTGTAGACCACAACAGTTGCCTTTTCCAAATGTCTCCCCCCCCCTTTTTTTTTTGTTTGTTTAATTAGAGAGAGACTCTTCCAGCTAGCTTGGGAATAACACCCTGAAAAGCGATTGTTTGATTCACTAAAGTTCATACTTAAATTGCTTCTGGCTTCACTTGCCCAGCCATCTGTTCTCTTAAAGCAAGAGTTCAGTGTCCTGCTGAGATTTGCTGCTTCAGCGGGGTCAGTAAAGAGTTATGGCTATAGTTTGGTCAAGGAGAAGGAGAAAGGGAGGGATGAATAGAGAAGAGGAATGCTATGAAGCCCTTGGTTGATTATATCTTTGGGCACTGTCAGCTTAATATTTATAGCAGGAAAAAAAAGACCCATTGTTGTGAAAGATCCACATGTTCTCATTTACAGTAACACAATTGCTACTAAGTTTTTGTGTAGTTTATCCAGATACCTTCCATTAAGACAGCGATTCTGTTGTGGAGGGATCACACACCCCTAGAACTTATACTGTGTATCTTGTTGTTGGAAAAATGCAATGTACAGTAGATATTTGCTCCTCCTTGGCATTTCCTTTTCTACAATAAGCACTCTGTGAATTGTGATTCTGTGACTGGGTAGTGCACTTATGTCATGCCTGAGCTACTTAAAGACAAACCATTTAAAAGAGGTTGAATACTTCCCTGCTGCCCCACTGAAGTGTGAGAGAATTTGTCTGTTTTTTTTTTTAAACGGAAAGAGGGAAGGCACCTGCAAATCCTCTCTCCCACTACAAACACATCCCCTTATTTAAAAGTACTTCCGCTTTTTAAAAAGAGGATGTTTTGGAGAGTAGTTTGAATATTCCACAGCTGCAGTGCACATGTTTTTGAACTGGGGAGGGGTTAAAAAAAGTCTTGTCCATTTCATTTTTCCTCTTTTGGCAGAACAAGTGAAAGGGACGTTCTTCTGCAAGTTATTATCATCCAATTACATTCTGTCCAATGGGACTTCTGTACATTGGCAGTTGAGGAGATGGTATTCCTCCGCAAGAGAGATTTTCTCAAAAAACTCATTCTAACAGAATTATGCTTTGTTTATCTTGTACATGTATGTGATGGTTTCTATCCTCTCATTTTAAAAAAAAGTGTTTTTCTCTGGTCACTCTTTTATTTTTTCTTTCTTACTCGGGTCAGTACAGTATTTCTTTTCCTGTGATGGTGGATATTATTAGCCTGGGAGAGGGGGTTAATGTAAATGTTGGTTGTACTCCAGAATTTTTCAGACTGCTAAAAAGAAAATAACTACTCTTTCCATCCTTGTTGTATAGCTTGAGCTCTCACATTTGATGGCTGTTTTAGTTTCTGTATCCTGTGTTCTCCCCCACCCCAGAACTTATTCTGTCTTTGGTGCTGTGCCAAAAAAGGTTTTTCACTCTGTCACCATTGTTGTGTTTTATTATAGTCAGTGGAAGGAATTCTTTTCATTTACCTTAGCTCAGACTCAGTGGAAGTAAAGAACAGATTTAAGGAACTAGATTTGGTGGACAGAGTGCCTGAAGAACTTTGGATAGAGGCTCGTAACATTGTCCAGGAGGCAGCAACGAAAACCATCCCAAAGAAAAGGAAATGCAAGAAAGCAAAGTGGCTGTCCAACGAGGCCTTAGAAATAGCAGAGAGGAGAAGGGAAGCAAAATGCAAGGGAGATAGGGAAAGTTACAGAAACTTGAATTCAGACTTCCAAAGAATAGCAAGGAGAGACAAGAGGGCCTTCTTAAATGAACAATGCAAAGAAATAGAGGAAGATAACAGAAAAGGAAAGACCAGAGATCTGTTCAGGAAAATTGGAGATATTAGAGGAACATTTTGCGCAAAGATGAACATGATAAAAGACAAAAATGGGAGGGACCTAACAGAAGCAGAAGACGTCAAGAAGAGGTGGCAAGAATACACAGAGGAATTATATCAGAAAGATTTGGATATCCTGGACAACCCAGACAATGTAGTTGCTGACCTTGAGCCAGACATCCTGGAGAGCGAAGTCAAGTGGGCCTTAGAAAGCCTGGCTAACAACAAGGCCAGTGGAGGTGATGGCATTCCAGTTGAACTATTTAAAATCTTGAAAGATGATGCTGTTAAGGTACTACATTCAATATGCCAGCAAGTTTGGAAAACTCAACAGTGGCCAGAGGATTGGAAAAGATCAGTCTACATCCCAATCCCAAAGAAAGGCAGTGCCAAAGAATGCTCCAACTACCGTACAATTGCACTCATTTCACACGCTAGCAAGGTTATGCTCAAAATCCTACAAGGTAGGCTTCAGCAGTATGTGGACCGAGAACTCCCAGAAGTACAAGCTGGATTCCGAAGAGGCAGAGGAACTAGAGACCAAATTGCTAACTTGCGCTGGATCATGGAGAAAGCCAGAGAGTTCCAGAAAAATATCTACTTCTGCTTCATCGACTATGCGAAAGCCTTTGACTATGGAACAACTGATTGGTTCAAAATTGGGAAAGGAGTACGGCAAGGCTGTATATTGTCCCCCAGCTTATTTAACTTATATGCAGAATACATCATGTGGAAGGCTGGACTGGAAGAAACCCAAGCCGGAATTAAGATTGCCGGAAGAAATATCAACAACCTCCGATATGCAGATGATACCACTCTGATGGCAGAAAGTGAGGAGGAATTAAAGAACCTTGTAATGAGGGTGAAAGAGGAGAGTGCAAAAAATGGTCTGAAACTCAACATCAAAAAAACTAAGATCATCACTGGTCCCATCACCTCCTGGGAAATAGAAGGGGAAGATATGGAGGCAGTGTCAAATTTTATCTTCCTGGGCTCCATGATTACTTCAGATGGAGACAGCAGCCCTGAAATTAAAAGGCGCCTTCTTCTTGGGAGGAAAGCGATGACAAATCTTGACAGCATCTTGAAAAGCAGAGACATCACCTTGCCAACAAAAGTCCGAATAGTCAAAGCTATGGTTTTTCCTGTTGTGATGTATGGAAGTGAGAGCTGGACCATAAAGAAAGCAGACCGCCGAAGAATTTATGCCTTTGAATTGTGGTGCTGGAGGAGGCTCTTGAGAATCCCCTGGACTGCAAGGAGAACAAACCTATCAGTTCTAAAGGAAATCAACCCTGAATGCTCACTTGAAGGACAGATCCTGAAGCTGAGGCTCCAGTACTTTGGCCATCTCATGAGAAGAAAAGAGTCCTTGGAAAAAACCTTGATGTTAGGAAGGTGTGATGGCAAGAGGAGAAGGGGACGACCAAGGATGAGATGGCTGGACAGTGTCTGCGAAGCAACCAACATGAACCTGACACAACTCCGGGAGGCAGTAGAAGACAGGAGGGCCTGGCGTGCTCTGGTCCATGGGGTCACGAAGAGTCGGACACGACTAAACGACTAAACACACACAACAGCTCAGACTCCTCAGCTGGGCTTCTTCCCTAGGAACTACATTCAGGTTTCTGCACCTTGCTCCTTTGGCTCAGAGCCAGTGACCCTCTCCTGTATATCACGGAGGCACCAGCAATATGATTCTGAAGGAGCATTGAACTGCCTGCTGGTGTAGCAAGACAGTAGGATTGCCCAGACAATGACTCTTCTGGATAGGCAATATTGGACCAGGCTTCCAAATGCTCTAGAAACACCATGAGGAAACCAGATCAGGTCAATGTTGAATGGAAGAAATTTCCACCTGAATGACTTTGGCCTTATTAAGTGCTCTTTATCTTTTATTATTGATGGTATCAGTTCTCTTACTTCTTGATTAAGAGCCAATTGGTGTATCACTCACTTCATCATAAAAGGTGATTTCGTTGTTCTTTAATGTAGATTTTGCTATGGATTTATTTTGTTTGTTTTACAGTTTTGTTCAGTTTTCTTTGTTGTTATTCTAAAGGGCATCTGTACAAAGAGAACAGTTTCCTTTCAGTACAGAGTGTAATTATGTTAAAAATGTAACGGGAACTGGGCATTGGAAGGAAGCCTTAGCAGAAGGCATCTCTTTCTCCTTCCCAATGCATGCATGTGTATGCATATGTGTTGTACATATGCATTGTATTCCAGCTAAGTTGAACAAAAGAGAAATAGTCAGGGTTTTTTCTTGTCTCTTACACATAGAGGTGGATTGCTTCATGTACCTGGAATAAGAGCTTGCTGATTAGTATATGTTCATTTTTCAGGTACATGGAAATGTTGGAGTTAGAGTGGTGGGTGAAGAAATGTAACAGTGTGATTAATTTGTAGAAACAAGATTTAGGCTTGGAAAATAACTTGGATCACTAAAAAGTTACAGCATATGTTGGTGTTCTAAAAGATCTCTTCATCAGGCAAAGATGGTGT